CTTTCAGAGCTGAGCTATTCAAGCACAACTTTTCAGGTCCTTTTAAACAAAATTCAGACTGTGGAACTGCTTGTGTCTGGTCTACTGGTGAAATGTGAAAGGATGTTGTTCACTGAGCAGCCACATATTTCCGAAGGGTTGCAGAGCAGGGATTTGTTTCTGCAGGGCAGGACTTAGAGGGTGGAGCAGAGGAGTGGGGGCAGGCACCTGACTGTTTCTGCTTTGTCCCTGCCATGCTTCTGAGGGGCTGTTGAACTAGTATTAGAGTATGCTTTTCATGGACAGAGTTGATGGTTATGGAGGGAATGCTGTCCTGTTTCAGAACTGGGAGGAGAAGGCTCAGAGTGAAAGCATTTAAAACAACAGGGCCAGCACTGTCTTGCAGTGGGTGATTATCAGCTTCACTGTGGCTCCTCAGTGGATGCCGTACCCCTGCTGAAAATAACATTCGTTTTGGCCCTAGCTTCAGCATGCCAGAATCTTTCTCCACCCTTCCTTACTTTTAATCATTGCTGTGTTTTGCTCTGATGGGTTTTGCTGGCAAATGCCTGACACAACCTGCTTTGGAGTAAAGCTGATGTTAAAGGCATGCACATTTATTTGAGAGAAAAAGTTGGTTTTCCTCCTGTTCCCTTCTCTCTTTCCTGAAAGTCTATGAAGGTTCCAGCCATGTCTTAACCTAAGCTCCCCTGCAATTGATACAACCAGTGCACTCACTCCAGACGTGTGTGCCAGATGAATTAATGTTTCTTGGGGAAGGAACATATGCATCCAGGGGAGTCCGTGTGCCACAGAGCATATGCTGTGCATCAGTCTGGTAAAAGTGAGAGGCAGTGGTAAGCTGAGATCACTGAAGTGGCTGCGGTGAGGGCAGCACTTAGGCTGAGTTGTCGCACCCTGCCACTCAGTGTCAACTCTGAACATCACTTCTTTGTTAGCAGCTGGGCCAATTGTTCCATGCTTTTACTCCATAAAGGACAAAGCTAATATGCATTTCTTCCTTGGGACAAAGCACAGAGTTTTTTTCTCCATGGATTTGCTACAAAATGAAGAGCATACCAAGGTTTAAGAAATCATAAACTCACACTCAGGCTGAGGTTTCCTCTTGTAGCCTAGTTGGCCGTGAGGGTGGACCACTGAGATATGAGGTGCCTGTATGATTATCATTGTTACTGGCCTTGCTGTGTTTTTTCTGGAAATTGCAGTCATTCTTCAATCAAACATTGCTGTATAGAGTTTCAGTTTTGATGGTACCTGGAATGGGAGACGGGCAGTAAGTGAATCTAGAATATTCTCAAACAGATCAAGTGTGCTAAGTGCTGAGCATGGCAAGATTGAGATAGTTTGGCATTAGGAGCTAAATCGCTGTAGGACTAGTCTATAATGAAATAAGCGAAGAAAACATTATAAAGTGCCTAGCAGTTATGGTGTATTACAGGAAGGCTGGAAAGAGCTTACGGTCTACAACTTAACATGTTTTATCTGTGAGCGTGGACAGGTGTCTACTGCTGTTAGAGACTATTGCATTTACCACAGCAATCAAATCCTTATTGAATTCCTGTAAATTCTGCTGGATATGGTGGTCACAACCTCTGTGCATTTTGTGTAGGTCTGGGGATGCTTTGACCAAAGGAGAAAGGATACATCAGGTACATTGCTGGGGGCAGAAATATCAAGGTCTATAGACCTGGCTTCTGGCCACAGCTCATGTGCTGTGAGACTAGAGAGGTCTGGAGTTTTTTGTACCTTCTGTTTTCTGTGTTTTCTGATAGCAGAGATTAATGTAAGTGTCTCTGGATAAAAATCAGCAGCCGTTGCTGGACAGGCAATTAGCAGTAATATCATTACAATCTCTTTTGGCCTTGAATCTAGGATTAGGGGGAATATAATATATTACATTTTTCAGCCTGCGTTTTTCGCTGGAGGTTTCTTATTTTTATGCGATAAAGAGTAAAGCTGCATGAGAAATCCATGTCCATCCTTCTCTGTATTACAAAGCCCTTTCTTGGCACTGTTTTGATGGTAATGCTGCTGTGGATTCTTTATGTGTAGAAACTGTAGACTGCAGAAGAGAGACTTATTTTCAGCCTTGGTTGCTCTTAGCTCTTGATTAGAATTCATTGTAAGCACTTTACAGAGGGAGGCAAATATTACTGAATTCAACAGATGAGTAAACTGAGGCATGGAGGGAAAATGATGCACCTGGAAAGCACTGAAAGTAAGAAGAGACATCAGCTTTTTCCCTGAGTAACCCTTGGAGCCTGCTAAAATATCCTGCCCTCAAGGCAGTTTGCACAGCAGCCATGCACAGGGCATCTGCATTTCCTAAGCTGTCAGTGATATGAGCACTGAGTCTTCAAGCCACCTAAAGCCACCTGAGAACTGAAGTCTCACTTTTCTGCTAAGAATCTCTCATTTCCCCTGAACAAGAAGTTTATGTTACAACCTGTATTGATTTGACAGCCTTTTTATACTTCATACTTTCGTATGAAGTACAAAAAGAACTCACTTAGTACTTACTTTTTGTACTACGTACAAAAAGTACTTACTTAGCCCTCCTTTGTATTAAGTAACAAGCTAATCAGCTGTCAGAATTAACTACTGGAATAGCAGAAGGAAGCTTTGCTTACTCTTCAATGCATATACGGGCGCCCTCAGTCAGGATGAAGCTTTAAATTGGAGAAGTTGGAAGACAGGTATTCTTCTGTAGCCCTGTTGACTACTTTTGGCAAGCAGGGGAAAGAGCACACCTTCCCTCTTGTTGGGTGTTCCTCCTTCAGCCTTCCCAGCCATGGCTCCGAGAGGCAAAGCAGAAGCTGGGAGCTTCTGTACTGTTAATTTCACTAAGTGGCAGATGCTGGCACTTCCTTTCTTTCTAAGCTTTTGGTGGTTTGTGGTAACGTTGACTCTTGTACTGCAGTGGTTCCTAGCAGAGTACAGATGTTTCTTGTCAGCTTTGGCCATCTTTCAGGGCTGTAAATGCTACCTTTAATAAAGAGCAGTGGTGAAACAGGACTGTGATTTATAGTGAGGTGAGGCTCTGTGAGTTGGCATGGCTTTTGAAGCAGCATTTGTATGTCAAAGACTGTAAATGTGTTATCTCACCTGGGTATGCCTTGCTCTTGTCAATTGTTAGGGATTGGAATTTGGAACAAGTCGTGCCTGATTTGAATGGACAAGGTGTTGGTCAGGGCTTGTGTCAGGGTACTCTGTCATTTGCTTTCTTCACAAGTTTGGTATAGGCCAAATTTAGAGAATTTCAGACATTGGCTAGTGGTTTTGGGTAGGACTGAGGATGCGTTTTCCACAACAATTACGTCAGAAGGGGCTTTTTTTTCCTAGGATAACTGATGGGCAGTAATACTAGTGTTGGAATTGTATTTACAGTATTAATTTCCTACTGGGCATTGAGACTGACTCCCTTTTGTTATAGCATCATTTTATTTACACAGAAATAAATACAAACCAATGCAAATCCCCAGTTCTTGCAGGAACAGGCTAGATTTCTGTTTTCCCTAGATACTTGATAAAGAAGTTGTACCCACAGGATGGATGTGTGATATTTCTGATGTTGTTAGCAGCACTGAAAGGATGGAAACAGAGGTAAAATGGGCAAATCTCCGTTCTGTACATGTCCTTCTCTTAAACCATGGATAAGAGAGATAGGAAGCAAGTGATGCTTTGTGGCATGCGGAATAGGAAATATTTTAATTTTAAGCTCACCTTAAAGATGAAAATCTCATCTTTGAGGAGTTAATAAGTGGCTAGCAGACATTTGAGTAAATGGCTAGACACTTGTTACTGGAGCACAGCAGTCAGTTGTTTTTACCATGGCTTGTCAAGTCTGAAAATTACAGTGGTGTGTGAAGCTGTTGTATGTTGTTTAAAGTGCTGAGGTCATCTTTAACTCATTCCACTCATACCTGCCCTGTGGATGACCCTTGCTGATCATTCATTAGCCCTGTGTAAATGGGGTTTTATTAGAAAGAATTTCTGTATAGTATGAAAATATAGAAATAAAATAAAAATGCTGTCAAATGCACACACACATATACACAGAACCGAGATTTTGCAAAGCTTTTCATGCCAGTGTCAGAGAAAAGTTAAAAGGTTAAAAGCCTGCCATTCTGCAGGGGTGTGTATATGGGGGTGCGCTTTTTGGTGTTATGGCCTCTTGCCTCTTTCATGGGAGAAGCAAAGCAGGCACACAGCTCAGCCAGAGCATTCCTATTAGAGGTGGGAGGAATCTGTAAGTGCATGATTTTTCCTGAAGTGCCCTGGGGTTGCTATGCTGAGCATCTTGACTTTGAGCAGCTGGTGAGGGAAATAATTGCCACCATGAGGGAGCAGAAATGAAGCAAGGAGTTCTCCAGGCTGGCATGGGTGGTTTGTATCTTTCATAATCCAAAGTGAGCTCTTTGCTCTGAGTCCTGCTTTTTCTAGCAGTGCCTTCCGTGGGATGTCCGCTGCTCATGGGCAACGCAGAAGCCACAGAGAGTTTTGGTGATATTATTTTAGATTTAAGGAATTGTCTTGTTTCCAGGACAACTGGGGAAGAATGAGGAAGGGACTTGTTCTGACTCAGCTTGGAGTAAGTGATCACCCTAGCTTAATCACTGCATTTCCCCTGAAAAATGCTTAATTTCCTACTTGCTAAGAGGCCTCTTCAAGCCGAGCAAGCAATTGGGTTAAAAGATACTAATGCAAGAAGCACTCAAGTGCAGTTGTAGGCTGATAATAGCAAAGAGCTCTCTCTGAAATGAGCCCAAGCTGAGGATATTTAGCACAGTCAGAAGGAACGTCCGTATTTGGCTGTCTGTTAAAACACCCTTAACTTCTGCTGACTACTAAGTGAATGTCCCTGTTCTATACTTCTTCAATTAAGTGGATTTTGTTACATTGCGTCATCTTGCCTCCATACAGTTAATGGCCTTCTGTTCTAAGAGGAAACTCTAATGTTATCTTATTTTTATTCTTTCCATATTCTTTTAATCTCACAGCAATGTTGAACCACAGAATGTGGTGTTAGACTCCAGTGCAGCCATGGGGAGCAATGAACTTCAGGAGAAAGATGCCACTGGAGCCCCGGGCCATGATCTCAGCAATGGCAGCAGCAGGAATTTGGAAGCAGCCAGGCGCCTGGCTAAGCGCCTCTACCATCTGGACAGATTCAAACGCTCTGATGTGGCAAAACATTTGGGTAAAAAGTATGTGCTCATATGAGGCCTTTGGCCACATTCTTATTGATGGTTCTGCAGGAGTTCACTCTTGAATGATAACCATTACTTATTTCTTCACTTTTCTTCAGCAATGAATTCAGCAAGCTTGTGGCCGAAGAGTATCTTAAATTTTTTGACTTCACAGGCATGACGCTGGACTGTTCACTCAGGTACAACTATTTCTGGACTTTATATTCTTATTTTAGTAACAGTGCTGTTTGCAGTGTTGTCCTGATTTACATGGTCATCCTTTTGGAATGTAAGAAGATGAAGAGAGGATTGTGATGTATTTTGGGGACAAAACTTTCTTCTTCTGTTTGGCTTGGTGTGCCGCAATGCTGCTGGAGTGGTAGCCAGATGGAGAGGAAAATATTTGAGTGGCCCTGCTTAAGGATGGTCCTTTATACAGAGAAGCTGGAGAAAAGTGTCCAGTCACTAGCAAAATAGGGGACTTGTAGTCTGCTAGGTGCTAGTGAGGAATTACAGTGTTGCTCACAGCCGATCTGCACAGACTTTCTGGCTGATGCTTTTTGGAGCTTACCCTACCTTGCTGCAGTGCACTATGACCAGGGTTTGGTTTGTCTCGGCAGCTCCTCTCTCTGTGCCTCCCTGAGGAATCCAGAAATGTGCAGAACAGCAAAAGCTTCTAGGTGGAGAAAGCTCTAGTGAGTTTGGTAACTGTCAGCATGGATGTTTGAAGACCCAGCCCTTCAAATTTCATTCCTTTTTACACTGGAATCAGATCTCGGCAATGTTTCTTTTCAGTGTTTTATTTCTCAGAAGTCAAAACCAAGTTTGTGTAGCAGTGGCCTGTTAGTGCAGTTGCTGGTGTTCTGGTGCTTAAGGGGATTTAAATGAGTTTAACTCATTTGACTGAGGTTACTTAAGTAACTGAGGTTACTTAAGTAATTTTTTTCTAATTAAAATACAGGAGGTGTGCATGCGCTTCTCACCCGCTTTGCAAATGTATTTCTGGGAGTCTGATGCCATGAGACCATAGCAGATCCAAGGCACCCACAAAGGCCTACCTTCTGAAGGCGGTAGAAATGGAACATGTTTGCACAAGCGTGAACTGCTTGGTCCTGAGGCAGGGGGAGTGGAGCCAAGCTGGAGCACCCACTCAGCATGGGATGGGAGCTGCTGGACAGTAGAAGGTCTGCTGCTCTTTCCAGTTTTTAGCACCCCTGAAGTGTGATGCTAAATATACCCTTCTTTTAAATTGTGAAATCCAAGACATAATTGCTTTGTGGTGCATATGTAGGAGATCTCTGCTCCCTGTAGATCTCCTGTTAGTATTAATAGTTATGACCTTCTCTAAAATGTGCCCGGGCTCATGTAGGACTTAAACAAGCCAAGGGGTTGTTGAGGTTTCAAGAGTAGCTGCAGTATTTGCCAGCTACATGCCCTAAACATGCAACAGGAGTTAGGGACAAAGAATCATCCTGAAGCCAGAGGAAACTGAGGCATGCTACCTCATGCTTGGCAGAGAGTCAGAGGTAACAGTGCTGTTGTTGCTGGCTTGCTGACAAGCTGTGGTTTGTTGAGCATTTTGGAGGCAGCTGCTGAGATGTGTGCTACCTCCCAGCTGTGGGAGGCTCTTGTGCAGCATCAGTGACAAGTCTGAAACGTGGGAAGGATTGTTCCATCACTGTCCGCTCCCTGAATACATGTTGCCCATGCACCTCCTGAGTGGTTGCAACCGCTTGCAACCTCTGCAGGACTACAGGAGGGGAATGTGATGGGGTGACTGCTCCAGCTCCTCTCAATATCCATTCTGGAGTCCAGCCCTGGACACAGGGAGAGCAGACGTCAGGCTGCTCAAGGAACTCGTTAGTAAAGTTCCCTGAGAAAATGCTTCTGAAGGTGCTGGGATCCATCAGTGCTGGTCACCACCTCCTATGGGCACCGGAGCAGGCAAATCGAAAATGTTGGAAGTCAAGCAGATAAGGCAGAAGGCTAACTTGGATAACCAAGGTTCTTCTGGAGCTAACACAAAAAATCCAAGGTGTTTGTCCAGTGAGAGCAAGGTCAAGTGATGTGGGAAGAATACAAATTTGCTGCTCACTACTGTAGAGAGAAAATGCCAGCTGACAAAATTCAGCTGCATTTGAACCAGTTGACCAGTAGATGTGTGGGTCAACAAAAATATTTTTAAAAAGATAAGTCAATAGAGAAAGGCAATGCAGAATGGCTCAGTCCTTGAGCTGGAGGACCATGGCTGTGAGACTGATAAACTCCCACTTGTGTGGGATCTGCTGCTCCATCTGGATCCTCATAAGTCTACGGGGCCACATGGGATTTATCTAGACATACTCGAAGAGCTGTTTGATGTCTTTGTGAAGTCTCTCTTAATGATTTTGGAACGGTCTTGGGATTCTGGAGAGATCCCAATTGACTGGAAACTGTCTAACCTTCAAGAAGGGCAAGGATGACCCCAGAAACTATAGGCCTGTCAGTCTCACTTCAGTGCCTGGTGAAATTATGGAGAAAATTATTCTGGGAGGTATTGAAAAATAACTGAAAGGCAGTGCAGTGATCGGTCACAACCAACATGGCTTCATGAAGAAAAAGTCCTGCTTATCCAACCAAATTTCCTTTTATGACAAGGTAACCTACTTAGATGATTAAGGGAAGCTAGTTGATGTGATCTTTTAGGATTTCAGTAAAGCTTTTGATAGTCTCTCTCAGGACCCTTCTGGAGAAAATGTCCAGCCCACAGCTGGATAAACACATCATGTGGTGGGTGAGCAGCTGGCTAATGTGTTAGGCACAAAGGGTTACAGTGAATGGGGTGATGTCAGACTGATGTCACTGTCACTGGTGGTGTTCCACAGGGCTTCACCTGAGGCTGTGTGCTCTTCAACATGTTCATAAATTACTTGGACACAGGACTTGAACATATAGTAAGGAAGTTTGATGATACTAAACTGAGAGGAACCGTAAAGGAAATGTCCTGCAGGGAGACTTTGATGAATGAGAGGTCTGGGGAGCTACCAACTGTGTGAAATTTAACAAGGTCAAATGCTGGATTCTGCACCTTCGAAAGACTTGGAAACGAGCTGCTGGAGGGCAATGCCATGGAAAAGGACCAGGGAGTCCTTGTGGAGGGCAAGTTGAATATGAGTGAGCAGTGCCCTGGCAGCCAGGAGAGCCAGCTCTGTCCTGGAGTGCATCAGGCACAGCATCACCAGCCAGGCAAGGGAGGGGATTGTCCTGCTGTGCTCTGCACTGGGGTGGCCTCACCTCCAGTGCTGGGAGCAGTTCTGGTCCCTTCAGTATAAGAAAGAAACAAAGCTACCAGAAAGTATCCAGAAAAAGGGTGCAAAGGTGGTGAAGGGCCTGGAGGATAAGCCAAAGAAATGGCTGAGGTCCCGTGGTCTGTTCAGCCTGGAAGAGACTGAAGGGAGACCCCATTGCAGTCTAAAACTTTCTCAAGGGAAAGAGAAGGGGGCTTGCACTCTTCTCTCTTCTGTGGTGACCTGTGGCAGGACCTGAGGGAATGGCTAAACCTTGTATCAGGGGAGGTTTAGGCTGGACGTTAGAGAGAGGTTCTTCACCCAGAGGGTGGTTGGGCACTGGAACAAGCTCCCGAGGCAAGTGGTCACAGCACCAAGCCTGACAGAGTTCAAGAAGTGTTTGGACAGTGCTCTCAAGCACACGGTGTGATTCTAGGGGCGTCCTGTGCAGAGCCAGGAGTTGGATTTAATGATTCTTGTTGAGTACCTTCCAGCTCAGTATGTTCTATGTTCTCTGTTCTTCCTGTGGGCAGTAACTCATCCCTGTGGTCCTTGGCTGAAGCATTGTGCTCTGAGAGTGAGGAAACTGCCTTGTTTATTTACCAATATTCTTCTATTAGATGCCTCTCCAAGTCAGCTTCCACGGGGGTAAATGTGCTTCAGAGGAGGAGATGGTATAGGTCAGTGGTGCCTGGCATGAGCAGGAAGTATTGCTGGAAAGAGCCCAGACTAGGGTAGGAGACAGAAAGACGGCTAATTCTCAAAATGTACCTTGGGAGCTGTTGTGGGTTTAGGAACAGTATTACCCAATTTAATATTCCCACTGAAACACTTGAAACCATGCTCTATTTGCTCCCTTCCCCCTCCCCATGGGGCACCTGGAGAGGAGAACTGGAGGCACAAAAGGCAAAGATTGAGGGTTAAGAACAATTTACTGGAAACAGTAAATGAAATAAGAAAATGAAGGGTTACAGTGACAATTATAGAGTGTACAGAAGAGGTGAGTGATCCACATGCAAGTGCTCACCATGTGGAAACCAGCAATACCTCAACTGCTCCACCATGCTACCTGACCAGAAAGGATGCCTCCCCCTACTATCCCTGCACATGACCTGAGGTGGTACAGAGTAACATCAGGCTCCTAGGCTACTCCTGTAGGCTCCTGCCCCTCCTGGCTACTGCAAAAATTAACTGTCCTGGCCAGAATCAGTGTGTTTTCCACCCCTTATCTTATATCATCTATATCATGTCCAGGCCCTACACCTTCCAGCTACATATATTTGTGTGTATATATATAAACGCAAGCATGAGTGTCATTTCCATAGTTAGTGGCTGTCCTTTCAAGATGTCTGTTAAGTTCATTTAGTTCATGACCGTGGGTTCTGTCTATTCTAGATGTCTTCCAGGGCAGGAGGGCTGCTGTGCTTTTGGCTGGTTGCAGTCTGCATCGGGAGCTCATGACTGGTATCTCTGGAGCAGTCCATATTCATTCTCCATAGTAGTTATGGCATACAGTGGCAAACAGTATTGTACAATTGAACATTACAGATCATTCTCACCCAAAATTGAATCTCCTTGGGGTACACCTCATATTTCCCCATCCCTCTACATTACCCATCAAGTGCCCTCAGGTCCTTGAGCAAAACCAATCCCATGGATGGATTTACCTTTGCAAAAAGGTAGAACTGATCCAGACCATGTTCTCTGAAACATTTGTACATACCACAGGGACTTCTTCCCCTGCTACAGTGTAGAAGTTTTGATTGGGCAGGACCAGCTTGATTGGTAGAGCCTCTTGTATTAACTAATGAAGTAGCCTTTGCTAAAAGCAGGTTCTCATGTTTGAAGGTGCCATCACCCATTGCTTTCAGTGTAATTTTTAACGGTCCATTGTGCTATTCAATTTTCTCAGAGGCTGGTGCATATTAGGCAATATGTTATACCCACTCAATCCTGTGCTTTCTGGCTCGTGTGTCTCTGGGGCTCTTTTTGAAATGAGTCCTGTTAGTCCAACTCAGTTCTTTCTGAGGTGCCATGCTGCCAGAGAAGTTGCATCTCAAGGCCCAGGATTGTGTTTTGGGCCCTGGTGTGAGGGTTCATCTCCCCATTTCATGGGGTTCATCTCCAGACATCCAGTGGTTGTTTCCACCCATGTCAGCATGTAGTGCTTGCCTGGGTGGGCTTGTAGCCATGTGATGTAACTAATTTGCCAGGCTGTCCCATGTTTGTATTTCAGCCACTGCTCACTGTACCAGAGGGGCTTTACCTGCTTGGCCTGCTCGATGGCAGCACATGTTCACAGCCACGGGTAGCTAGGGGGGAGCGTCCATGGTTAAGTCCACCCGTTGATCACAAGCCCACATGTATGTTGCATCTCTTCTCTGATGACCTGAGGCATTGTGAGCCCACTGAGCCAGAAGTCATTTGTTCTTAGATTGCCAGTCCAGATTAACCAGACACACTTTAATCTTGGTGGCCTGATCCACTTCTCCATCGTCGTGATGTTCTTCAGTAGCCTGACTCTTGGGCACGTGTGCATTTCATGATGTACTTCTACAGCCAGCTTCTCTAGCAGGGCAGTGAGTTCTTGATTCATCAGCCCAGTTGGGTTTCCCTCCCTCTCCAATGCTGATTGGCTTTTTCTGTCAGTCCAGCCACCCCAACAAAGCATTTGCCACAGTCCACAAGTCAGTGTAGAGGTAGATTGCTGGCCGTTCTCTCATTCAGTGATATTAAAGCAGCTGGATGGCTTTCAGCTCTGCAGCCTGGCTTGATCCACTTTTTCCTTCAGTAGCTTCTGTGACTTGTCATATAGGGCTCTCTACACCTGCTTTCCATTTTTGATTTGTCCCTCCCAATAAAGAGAGGGTATTCTTTTTCATTTTTAGGTAGATTATTGTGTGGGGCCGTTGCAGTATGTGTCATCTTCTCCTCCGATGATGATGGTAGTCTGAAATTTTCACCTTCAGGCCAGTTAGTGATGACTTCCAAGATCCCTGGTTGATTGGGGTTTCCTGTTCAATCTTGCTGTGTGGTCAGAGCAATCCAGTTACTCCACAGTGGCACAGTGTGTTGCAGGGACTTTCCCTTTGAATATCTAGCCCAACACTGGCAGCTGGGGCACCAGGAGGAGCTGTGCTTCGGTGTCAATCACTTCTGAGGCAGCTCCAACCCCTTCGTAAGTTGCCAGTGTCTGTTTCAGTAGGGGTTGGAATATTTGTATTCCCAAATCCAGAACACCAGGGGTCGTCGTCGCGTCTCCACATGTACCTTTTGCCAGCGACTCCCGGAAGGACCGTTCTTCCCGGCTGCACTGTGGAGCATATTTTTTACATCTTGTAGTGTCCTGACTGGCTACTGCATGAGCAATCTCCTGTTTAATTTGTTCAAAATCTCATTATTGTTCAGGACCCTGCTTGAAATCGTTCTTCTTTGCGATCACGTGATAGAGAGGTTTTATAATCTGACTGTAATCTGAAATGTGCATCCTTCAAAACCCCACAGCACCTAGGAAAACCTGTGTTTCCTTCTTGCTGGTTGGTGGGGATATAGCTGCCATAGCTGCTGTTCCACTGACCATGTCCATTGGAATCTGATGACATCCATATTGCCATTTTACTCCTAAAAACTGAGTTTTCTGGGCAAGTCCCTTGACCTTACTTTGCTGTGTGGCAAAACCAGCCTTCAGGAGTATTTTGGTTGTCTTCTTGCCTTTCTCAAAAATTCCTGCTGTGTTGCCCTGCATGGTCGTGTTGTCAATATATTAGAAGTGTTCTAGGACCCTTTTCCACACTTCCTTTTCCAGTGCAGTATGGAGTAGTCCAGGATAAATAATGGGGTTTTGTTTCTACCCCTGGGGAAGTTGGTTCCAGATGTATGTCACACACCTCTGAGTAAAAAACGGAGGCCTGCACCCTGCTGCTAAAAGAATGGAGAAAAACATGTTAGCAACGTCGATGGTGGCACCACTTGACTGCTTTGGACTCCAGCTCATACTGAAGTCCCAGCATGTTGGGCACAGTGGCACCCAGTGGTGGTGTGACTTTGTTAGGCCATGATAGTCTAGTGGTCCCTGGGCTTACACAGGGACCATATAGGACTGTTAGAGGGTAAATGAGTCTTGCTGACCACTCCTGGCTGTCCAGTTCATGGATCATCTCATGGATGGAGGTCACAGAGGCCCAGGTGGTGCAGTATTGTCAATGCTGCAGTGCTGTGGTAGTGACTGTACCTGTTGTTCTTCAACCCTCAGCAGTCCCAAAACAGAGGGGTCCTCTGAGAGACCAGGCAAGGTATTCAGCTCTCTCATTTCCTCTGTCTCCACAGGAATCCCCAAAATCCTAACAATGCCTTTTTGGGTCCTTGGAATATCCTCTTCTGAGGTATCCTGTGCCAAGGATGCATGAGGCCTCTGGGCCAGTCACAGTGGGGTGGTTTTGCCATTCATTTCCAGCCAGGCTGTCTCCACCTTCCAGTGCAGTCAGCTGTTGGGATCCCCTTGGCATCCCAGAAAGAGAAGGATTCTGTCCCCACATATCTTGATGGCAGCAGAGTACATTGTGTGCCGGTGTGAACAAAAGCCTTACACTCCTGTGTGTCTGATGTGCCAGTGCACTGGATCCACACAGTCCAATACATCTGATTGTACCATTCTTCTACCTGGCTGGGGCTCTGTAGTTCTAGTAGTAGTACATGTTGCTCACTTCTTGTAAATATGAGCTGGGAGTCCCTTCAAGAGGATCAGAAATAATGTCAGCCTTTATATTAAAAATTAACTCTGTCCTGGCCACAACCAGGACAGGAGCACAAAGTAGGAAGGACAGAGAAACCCTGTGAAGATTCACTTGCATCTACTTGTGAATAGGATTATTTGCAATACATTATGTGTGAAATTAAGTTATTACCAGGCAGATCACACTCTCTGTGGGTGTGAGATTGTTGCAAGTACAGCTTGTCTCTGACCTTACATCAGAGAGAAAAAACTAAAGTTTGTGCATCGAGATTAGATAGATTTGAATGTTCCAGGAATATATTCCATTCCTCTCAGACCTGGTGTTAATTTCAGTCTCATGGCATGTTTAAAAATTGTCTATTAGACAGTCATTCTGTATGTCTTCTTACTTCAGATCCAGAAGGTTTGTGTTTTTCAGTATTTTCTTAGAAGCATCCTGATAAATTAATGCAGAAGGTCATCTTTGGCTGTGAGATGCATTTTTTTAGTGGGAAGAATTGCAATCTGTTTAAGAGGAGGGGTGTTCAAGTAGGAGAATAGAAGTGAAAGATCTGTGTCCTCCCCACCTCTCTGCACAGGCTTGCTGGCTATATCCAGTGGATGTGCCCAGATACGCACCAGCCCTGCACCCTGGGCTCTCATGAGCAAGAACCTCAGGAGGGCCAAGTTACTCCTCCTCCTGTTGAAGCTCAGTGGGAGATGTTGCAAGTCTTCTGACCTTTTGCTCAGATATTTTCTGCAGGTCAAGTAGTCACACTCCTCCCTCACTGATGTGGTCCTGGCCACTCTGATAAGTGACCACACTTTGGCTGCTAGCTGTGAGTGCTGTGCACTTACTTGACTTCACTACCTGGAGTAGCTTCTCTGATTTGGAGAGCAGTATTAATGAAGTAAAGTTAAAAGGTGCAGGGGTGGTGGGCAATTAGAAGACAATAGAGAACATCCTGGATATCTTGTCATGCATAAAAGATGCATGTTTCAGTTCATTGCCCAAAGAAAAGAAAATTAAAAGTAAGAACAGCTCTTTCAAATGGTGAATTACTTATTATTTTGTATATTCTGTGGCTGAGACCAGTGGTAATTGAAAGCTTCCTTATTTACTATAATGTTGGAGTTAACTGCACGCAAAATGATAACCCAATTTCCCAGAAAGGCTCCTTGGAACCGAATGTGTGCTTACGTACTTCTTGCTATGATGTGTGCTTTGCTCTGTGCACTGTGTGAAACAAAAAGAGATTTATTACCTTAATTTCACATTTTTTTTTCCCGCTGATCTTTTAGGAGTTTCTTTAAGGCCTTTTCACTTATTGGAGAAACTCAGGAACGAGAGAGAGTTTTAATCCACTTCTCCAGCAGATACTACCAGTGCAACCCAAATGCCATTTCTTCTCAAGGTAACTTTGTTTCTGATACTGAGATCTTTGCTTGTTGCGGTCTTCCTTCATTCTCACCTTCAATAGCACGCACCGTGTATGCTTGGAAAATGAAGCTATGTAGTCACTGTACCACACTTTAGAGACTGTCTCTGGTAAGCATCGAAACCCTCAGCAGGAAGGGTGTTTAGCCCTCCTCAATATTTGTTTAGCCCTCCTCAATATTAATCCTCAGTTATGGCACCTCCAGATTTTTTCTCAGTTGTAGTTTCTGGTCTCACTAGCTTTGGTGTGTTGGTACTTGTACTCATGTGGGCAAGAATAGGTCCCATGTCAGGTGGAGGAGAGGCTGTTCACTTTCAGTGCTCCATTCAGCACTTGTGTCTGCATGCACTGGCAACAGGTATGCGAGTTCTTGCCAGTTGTGGGGGTGAATTTTGGGTACTGTATCCAGACCCTGGCATGGTTTCATCTTGACTAGCTAACATCAGAGTGCTCCTCCTTGCCAATGTTTTTTCAGTCAGTTTGGAAATAGATGATGGAAACAAACAAGCACATCTATCAAACCTGAGAAAACTGGGATTGCAGAAGAGGACAAACTGTCTGCTGGCATAACTGCTGTGTTCAGCCAGACATGCTGGCAGAGCCTTGTAGCCCTGTGATTGCAGCACACACTGATCACACACTGAAGGAGGAGGTTGAAAAAGAAGGCAATGACTGGTTTAGTTGTACCTTTAATTTCAAGTGTAAGTGAGAAAGAGCTGCTACACTTGGAGTACCACTGCTTCTCCTTACGCCTTGCTTTGTGACCTGCCCATGTTTCATTGAGATGATGTTTGGGCATTTTGCACCTCTTCAGCTTTACTGGCTGTCCTTCAGGGGAGGGAAAGAGTTAGGACTAAGACAGGATCTGTTCCTGTGCTGTCTCTGTCCTACATATTGCCTTTCTTATTTCAAGATACTGCAGGCAGTCAGGTAGAGCAAGTGCATCATGTCCAGAGTGAAATAATGACTTGCCTGATGATCTGGCTGCCTTACTCTAGTCCAGGGTGCAAGAGAGAAATTGCAGCTTCGAATCCTGAGTAAGCTTTTAAATCCTACACACTTAACCTAGGGTCTTAGAACTATGTGCAGTTTGGGCACCACAGTATAAGAAAAGTACAAAGCTATCAGAAAGTATCCTGAAAAATGATATAAAGATGGAGAAGGGTCTAGAGGGGAAGACAGATGAGGAGCAGTGAGATCCCATAGTTTGTAGGGCCTGGAGAAGAGGAGACTGAAGGGAGACCTCATTGTAGTCTACAGCTTCCTCATAAGGAGAGGAGGGGGGGCAGGCACTGATCTCTTCTCTATGGTGACAGTGACAGGAGCTGAGGGAATGGCTTAAAACTGTGTCAGCGGAGGTTTAGGCTGGACATGAGAGAGAGGTTCTTCTCCCAGAGGGTGGTTGGGCACTGGAACAGGCTTCCCAGGCAAGTGGTCACAGCACCAAGCCTGACAGAGTTCAAGAAGTGTTTGGACAATTCTTTCAAGCACATGATGTGATTCTTAGGGGTGTCCGGTGCAGAGCCAGGAGTTGGACTTAATGATCCTTGTAGGGCGACTTCTAAACTTGCTTGGAATGTTTATTCAAAAAGGTCTTAAAGTACTATACTTTTTCCTTAGGTGAGCACAAAGAAACTTGACAGAAGTTCACAGAATATTCACAACCAAACTTTCCTAGTAAACCTTAGAAGTTCAGGAATTTGGCAAAATTTAAAACAAACGTTCAGTCAGAATAAAACATTTCATGGAGCATTGACTTACTCATCCAACCTTAATTACCCATATTTCAGAAAATGGAAATTAGGAGTAGAAAAGAAGAAAAGTAGAAAAAAGAGCAAAAACCAAGATGTAGCTACTGCCCTGGGTCCTAGTAGGGTTTCAGCTTCCCTAAAATTCAGAGACAGTAGGGACACAATCACACATCTTGGTGTCTGCTCTGGCTTCTTGTGGCAAGCAACCCCTGGCGGGGGCTTCTAGTCATCTAGCTACCCCAGATGAGGTTGACTGGGGCTCCAGGGCAGGGTGTGGGGCATTGCTTTCAATGTGCCAGTGATTGGTGGCAGTTCTGAGCTAGAGGCTCCAGAGAGTGGAGTGTGGAGCAGTGCACCATTCCATTTTCTGCAGAGCTGCTCCCCCTACACACACATTTCAATTGTTTTGAGCCAGTAATCACTTCCTTCAGTCTCTCAGTCCTCCAACTCTATTCTGTGGTTCCATGAATCTGGCTTATTGCTGAGGGCCCTGGCCACAGGACCAGCTTAAAAACCCCTGGAGTGCTCTCTACCCAGCATGGAGCCAAGGCAGCATAAATAACTGACGGTGCTTCTCCAAAATTAGGTCTAATTGAGCACTGAATTTGATCTGAGCCAAAGGGGGAGAAAAACAGGATACCCTGCTGCACCCACTCTTTACACAAGAACGAATTATTTTACTTTTCCCTTTCTTCACTGAAGTAAATGAAGAAGAAAGTGTTGATTTAGACTGTAATATTGGTATTAGCAAGCTAAGAGTGATAGCGTGATTTCCTGTCTTGCTTGCCTCATCCATGGGTGCTGCAAGACAGTTTTGACAGTTGCTAAAAGATAAAAGAAAGACTGTTCTGGTTTGGCAGCTGTGTGATGACCTCATTGTTCATTTACTCAATTACGTGTATTCCTTAATATAACAGATTTTTATAAAGGGAACAGAGTCAATTAGTCTACGAGTCTCAGTTTCAGCTTCTTAAAGGTCCAGATGTGCTTCTGCATGTGACTCTGGCTATTTCTCTTTTTGCAGATGGAGTTCACTGTCTCACGTGTGCCATGATGCTGCTGAACACAGACCTGCATGGCCATGTGAGTATGCACAGCTATGTGTAGACTGCTCCTATCCACACCATGCTAGGATGTGGTGGTCTTGTGGTAGGCCTTGTGCTGGTGGCTTTCTTATAAAGCCCCTGCAGATAGCAAACAGTGAGAAGGCTGCACTCCCACGCTGTTGTCCTGGGCAGGCCTTTCCAGCATGCCTTGATCAGTCATTCGTAAGCTGGCGTTGTGCCTACTGTTGCCATAATGTCTGAGCATACTCCTTGTCCTCAGGCCTGTCTTTCTGGTGTGCTTACCATCCTTCCTGCAGCAGGCCCTGACCTAGGAAGCTGTACTTGCGATTGGCTTCCCCTCTACAGTAGGTACAAACATATGGGAAGGCCGAATAAAGATAGGAAGTGAAGAAGTTTTGGGAAGATCACAAAGGGAAGGTGATATTTGCAGACATTCATTTTCAGGGGTCAGATCTGGTGGAAGCAGAGTTTTGCACAGACAAATGATAGGTGTACTCAGAGCCAAGAGAATGGAGGAGGGATGTGGGCATGCTGAGTGGGAGCCCTGTGTTCCTGCACTACCCACCTCTTCCCCAGTGCCTGCCTGGGTGAAATAGTATTCTGGTTTGAGTTCTCCTAGTCATGCTGCTCCAGGGTGCCAGTAGCCTTAGGATGGGTATTTCAGCACCCGTGGTGCAATACATCTGCTATGCAAGGTATTCCCATGCTGATGGGAGGCTTTTTCTGCCCTGGAGTTAGGATGGAGTGTGTAAAAACACAGGAAGGCATAGCATGATTATATGCAAAAGCAGTGCCTTCAGCCAAGCAGCTCTGGGACTTCTCTCTGGCCTTCCACTGCACTTGAAAGAGCTCTTCCAGGAGGGTGTCCCTTGGGAACTTTTACCATTAAGGGTGTTAGATTGGGCAGCAGAACATGAAGGCACCCTGGGTCTGTCTCAGTGGGCTACTTAGCCCCTGTGAAGCTGCAGGTAATAAAACCAAGACTTGAGTGTTCACAAGGAGTTCTGAGACCCACTTCCCATTAATTGAATGCTTTTGTCTGAAGGTTGTGGAAGCAGGAGGAGGTAGGGAGTTCTGAAGAATTTTTTTCTCTGAAGGCTTAGCCTTCCCTACTGAAGGGTGTGTCAGTCATTTGTGAATATGAGTGAGGGGTACAGGAATGTGCCCCAGTTTGTCTCTTACCACCAAGGCTTCTCTTGAGCACACCTGAGTCTTTCTGCACAGGTATCCCACTCCCTAGAGTGGTGAGCAGCTTGGAGCTCCTGCTTTGCAGCCTGCCTGGCCTCACAGTCCAGGGAGAGAGACCAAATAATGGCCATACATCAGCCTGACAGCAATTCCCATTGCTCCCTGCAATGCTTTAGTAAGCCCTTATGGTCTTCAGTAGGTACTGGAATAGACGATCTGGCTCTGACCTATCATTGCTGTTGCTGTGTGTAACTGGAGGTTTATCCCATTGGCAGTTGACAGTGTGTTGTTGTGTATATGCAGCTGTAGTATTTGCCAGACTCCTGCTTGTATTATGTCCATGGGTGTGTCATTGTGTTCCCTCCTACCCCTCTGATTTCCTCTAATTTTGGTCTTCCTCTTACTGCTTTACATTTTTCCACATAGGTGGTAAGTTTGGCATTTTTTACTTGGAATGCAGCCCTCGAAGATAAGCCTAATTGCCTGTTTCGTAACAAAGATAATGCTTTGCCCCATCCTTACCAGGATTCTGCTAGAGCAGGAAGCAAGTGAATCACAGGGCCTATCTATATAGCTCTCTATGAGCTCTCTTTGTTACTGATATGCTGATCATAAGCACAGACACCTCTATTTCACAATCAGCTCCACTGCTTGTAGGGCTGTAATGCAGCAGTTCTGCCTTTAGTTCACACTTGCCTTTAACTCTTACTTATCCCCTTTATTTTCCCTTTCTTACCACTCTTCTACTTGTAACTAAACAGTTTTTGCTAGGTATGTCTTGGAAATGCATGCTTGCTTCTCTGCACAGAGGTCATCACCCACACTGGTGCTAGAGAGTTTCGAGGTATCTCCAGGCCACCAGCCACATCTTCTGGAACCTCTGTGGCACCATATGGAGATGTTAACTTTGGTCCTGCAGCACAACAGCCATTTGTCTGCAATGCCCCATTGCTGTTGGCTTTGGTCAGCATGGGGAAGCTGCAAACTGCTGCATGGAGGAAATAAATAGAAGTAGGCTGAAGTTGCAGGGAGAAAGGAAAGCACTTGTAAGTCTACTAGACCAGCTCCAGCCTGCACCTGAAGATTGAAGTTACGAGCTGTCTTCTATAAGCTTTGCAACCATAGAGCCAGGGTTACAGCCTGTCTGTGTTGTCAGGAGCCATCTGTGGGAAGCCATGAATTGTTCCAGGGTTACTGCTAACATTTTTTCTGTAGGTTTGTGCTGGCTGCTGCTATGGGATCTTCCTTATCGGCTAGGTGAGGCTGATGGCCAAGATTCAGTGGTTTTCCTGATCGTACATTATGGAAGGGAAATAGAGGTTATGCACTTTAAGCTGTGATGTAACTCATAACCTTGAATGACCTGTATTACCAACTGGTGCCCTTCCTTGTGCTCCAGTCCTGTGTTAATTTGCACTCTTCCTCCTAGCTGAAAACAAAGCTCACACAGAGCTCTTCTACTGTATTTCTGCAGAAAAAGCATGCCCTGACAGTGGAAAAGTCTTCACTTCCATCTCCTGACTGATGATGGTGTTATCCTCAAAGATACCATGACCGTCACAGAGCCCTATTTTCCTCTATGTCTATACCACATTTCACAGCTCATCTCAGGCTGCTTTCCTTTCCTCAGATGTCTTTGGTGTCTTTTTTCATCAATGCCGTGTTGTAATTGTTGCCCACTCACAAGGCTCCCTGCATGCTAAGCAGGGGCCTTCTAGCACCTGGGGGACCGAGTATAGACACTTCCTCTGAGGGGTGGTGGAGACAGGGATTCAAGAGTCGTTTAGGGCAGCCTCAAACTCTGGATGTAGTTTAGCTCCTACACAGACATGTAAGAACAGCCAAACAGTTCCTATCCATTTGTGGCTTATTTGGGCAACTTTTGATCTAAGACTTAGACAGGGAGAAAGGAAAGAGAGCGAGCCTGTGGAAATGTCATGAGACATGGGATATAAGGCACCATGCAACTACCAGAGATCTTCATAATTGTCCTCTTCATTACCCCTAGTATTAAGCTGGGTTTTCTTTGAGGGGTGTGTGTTGGCCTTTGAGTGCAAAAGTACTTTCCTTTTTCTAGCTATATGCATACAAGGATGCTCATCTATGAGTAATCTCATGCATGCTTTCTTAGTGCTGCCTGCCTTGGACTTGAAGGAGAGCAGGAAAATGCATTTAATCTGATGTTGCTCATTCCTGTCGTTTGGGAAAGCAGCAGGAATATGATATTGTGTTTTTCTGGCACTCCTTTCAGAACATTGGGAAAAAGATGACCTGCCAAGAGTTCGTTGCTAACCTCCAGGGAATGAATGATGGCAAGGACTTCCCGAGAGGGCTCTTGAAGGTAAGGAATTAACTGCAGAACGTGGGTTTCATTTTTACTGAAAGATAGTTCAAAACAGAATACGCATCTTGCATTTTCTGAATCTTAATTGTCAAACATGACAAATGATCGGCACATTTCTCTTCCCAGACCATACATAACATATATAACGTTTATTCTCTTGTTTTCTTCACTTGATAGTGAAGGAGAGTCTCTGCAGCACAGAGAGGTGAAACTGAGCTGCAGGCAGGTCTCTCCCCAGAGCTGTGTGCCTTGTAAACTCCTGAGGTCGTGCCAATCCAGAGTGCTGTCTCCTGATTACAGCGGACAGAAGCAGCCAGTTGGCTCTGAATGCAAATACATAAAGGCTAAGCCTGATCTCTGTGTACATTCTAGAAGGCGTATGTGTTTTTTCATCAAAGGTACTTTGGGGTACTCACATTAGAGCTAGAGATGTAATTTCAGATTATAATGTGCTGTCTGGCACAGGCTGCATTGCTTCAGCTTTTGTTCATTAAGTTTGTGCCAGGAGTTAAATCTGAAGAATGGAGGAAGAGGCTGAGCAGGACAAACCTTGTTTTATTATCAATAATAATGAGAATGTTTCACTTCTTTTTTGTCTGATTGCTAGCATGAAACAGCACTTTGCTTAAATGAAGACAGGTGCACATGCACTGGAGTTCTTTTTTTTTTTTTTTTTTTTTTTTTATAGAAATAAAAATAAGAGGCTGCCAGTCTGAGAGCTGACCCAATGCCTATTGAGGCAAACCAAATGAGTTGCCATCTCTTCTGTAGGTTTTTGTCAGGACCATTGTGAAATACAGATGTACCTGCATAGTTGAAAGCAGCAGTTTGTCTTCTAGTATTGGTAATTCATTTTCTTCAGGGAGCTTTTTGTTGGGCTCTCCTGCTTCAATATAAGCTCAACCACTCTTTATTTTAGATTTAATGTCCTTAATTTTTGAATCTGTATATCTGTCAGCAGCCACACTTGAATTATTTTTTCCCCCAAGGAATCTCATTTCTCAGTTTGCCATAGAGGGATGTGTTGAGATTAATTTGTAGGCTAATTACAGTCCTTACTGAATAAATAGATCTCCAGATTGTGTTTAAATAACCTGAGTGTACTGACAAGAGACTTCCACTGGTGCTCACCTGCTGTTTGTTTTCCTGCTGAAAGAATTATGCAGTTGTGGCTGTACCTTGGTGCTTAGCGCTCATCTGCTAATGCTAGGGATGCCTGACTCTTCACCCAAAGCAAATTCCAGGGCTCACTATTTTTTGGACATAGATGGAAGGAGTTTGGTGTTGGTATCCCACTTTGCTTAAGGGTTTCTGCCCTTTTCTCTGTGCTTCCTTGATGTCTTAGGGACAGAGGTGGTGCCCAGCTTTTGTTTCCTTCTGGCTTGTCTGAAGATTTGATTAACTGACCCTTGCTTTTTAATTTATCAGTGGAGGGGAGTGAGTACAAGTAATTGTGCTACTGTGTTCACAGCAGCCAAGCTGCTACTAAATGTGCAATTACAAAGACCGAGCGGAAATTAATTTTTGCATTAGTTTCAATAAATTAAATTCGCGGGACCCTGCTTCAGCACAGCACCAAAGCGCATGTGGCTTGCTGCTGCATTACCTGTGCAGCCACTGAGCACGGGTGAGGCTGCGACCCTTTTCCCTGCATCCTTGCCCAGCCGCCTGGGAGAGGAAGAGCAGTTTCCACAGGGTGGCAGTGTGTCCCTGTGGGAGTGAGGTTCTGAGCACCCACTGGTGACTAATGCAGAAGCGAGTGGGCCTTTCTGCCTCTGCAGTCTATCCATGTTCTCCTCTTGGCCCTGCTGCAACCTTGTTTGAAGCTCTGCAGCTCTGCTGAGCCCCAGAGCAAAGCTGAGCAGTGCTGGAGGAGAAGGAAGGCCAAGGAGAGCTGAGTGTTCTTCCAGGGCTTTTGAAGCTTTATGCAGCATTTATTGTGGCTTCAGTTCCCAGAGTCAGGGGTGCAAATGCGAATGCTTGGGCTATCCAGGAGAGCTGGCTGACAGGCGTCGGTCAAACGTGGCCTTCTGTCAATCCCTTCAACCTGAGTGCAGAGTGTGCCCCCTGAGTGTTTTGTCTGGATAGGAAAATAGCATATCAAGAGCCAGCCATCAACACATGAGGAGGGTCACACTTTTGTGTGATCACAGCCTCAGAAAAGTTGTGACGTTAGATCAAGTTACTCCTTTCTTTCACCTCCATGGGGGAGCTATCTCTATGTTTTATTAGGTTTTTTTCCGACAGTGACAACATTTTTGTTACAAACCACAAGGCCTTCATGATCTGATTCTGTGTGTCACTAGTTGTGCTTTGAGAACAAGTATTTTACTGTGGTTCGAAAGTAGAAATGAGAAATGCTAATGTGATCTTGCTCACCTTATGTCTTGCTCTCTTTTCATTTAACATTTTAAAAAGTTTTGCTTTTGTACACCCATCTGCACAAAGATTCATTGCCTTTCCTTTTTCGTCACTCCTTTAGTCAGATCTGAGGTTGCTTTTAAAGTTGGGACCCATAAACACAGATATGCCAAACTGTAATTAAAAGTGCACTTCTCCCCATGGGGTCTGCTTGTAGTATTCATGTATTCATCACATATATATATATGCAGAAAGGGAAGCCATGGCTAGGATCTCCCTCCTTGGAAAGAAAACAGAATCAATCTGACATTTTGGCAGTGTCAAGAACCTCATGATTACAGTGTAGGAGTGGTTTATTTCTCACATGCTCACACCAGCCTTAATCTGCTACTATGTCACAATGATATTCTAGGGAATTGTACTGTGTGACCGTAGCCTTCTTCAAAACTGGGCTTCACAAGCTTTTCTGGAATGAGGAGGAGATTGGCTTGAAAAGAGCCTAATTTTGACCATACATTATTGCTTAAATTCCTGTGGGCAGTGTGGTCCCTGCAAATATAGTGCTTGTATGGTGCTGGCCACAATGTTTTCCTTTTGTCATCTTGAGATACTGTGTTTGGGAGTCCACTCCAGGAAGATGGTGGTAACAAGGCCTTTCATATGTAAGGAGATAAAATGTCTTCTCTGGTCCACAGAGAGCCTGCAAGAAGGCTTCGCTGAGGAAATAGATCCCTGCTTTTGTTAGTCAGTGTTCTGGGAGGGGTGCTCTGTTTTTAGGCTGGGTGCAAAGTACTCCTGTCCTGTTTAAGTAAATGTCCTCTGCATTTACAGTGTCCAGGACACCTCATTCATGGAATCATGGGCATCATCCAACATCTGACTGGGCTGACTGGCAGCACTGCTACCCCCTGACATGAGCACTGGATGTGGGGAAGTCATACCTGGCTGTGTGTCTTTTAGTAGGGGATGGTAGCTCTTCACCGACCTATTATACCATCTGGGAACCTCCATCATGCTGAGGTACCTGGGATGCTCTACAGAGACTTGGCTAGACTCATCCTAACAGGGGCTGCTAATGGAGATAAGATGCCAATCCTGCATAAAAAATCTTCTTTTTCTCAAAGGCTGTTTTTTGGGTAGGCCTTATCTCCTGCAGATGCACTGTAATGAAGTGACCAAATTAACTTGAAGTTGCTGGTGCTGAACTCTTCTGAAGAACCAGTCCTCCTTAATTTCCTAAATAATCTGAATTCTTGATCAGGATTCCTGGGATATGCAATTTCCTACAGAAGCTGCAAAGTAGGGTTTATCTCATGTTGCTGTCGGTTCCCTGCACTTTAATTAAGGGGTTTTTGCCACTGTCTTTCTGCCTCCTCTCGCTCTCCCTCTCTTTTTTAAATTCCCTTTGAAAGCCCTCCAAAGCAAATACTTAGTTTAAAGAGAATTACTAGCATCTTCATCCATTCCAGTTATTTCAGGTATTTAGTTAGGTATTTAGCACAGTCTCTCCCTCCTTTATGGAGGCGAGCTCACAGTAATTGGACTGTTGTGTGCACCCTAGTTGCTGTCATCAGCAGTCTCTGTACTTCATCCATGTCGTCACTTTTTGGCAAGAAATTCCCAGCTTGCAGGGAAACCTGATGAAGTCGGGGAGATAAGAGCGTGTGACAGCATGCCAAGATGGCCCCAGGAGCACCACACTGACTGCTGTAACACCCTGTAGCAGTGGGCAGAGGAGGGAGAGGACCAAGTGTCTTTGCTCCACTGAATTAGACAGAGCTCTGCCTCCTTGTTTCTTCGCCAAATAAAGTTTTATCTCTTAAAAATACTTCTATTGTAAAATAGTATTTTTGCGCCATTTCTTATGCGTATGAAATAGATCTGTTATGGAAGGCCCCTTTCAGCTGCTAAGAGACAGCAGCGTCTAATCTGGCAGTATAAAAGTCAGGGAATGCAGGATTAAATCATTAATCCTTGTTTTAAACAGTTGTTTGTGAAAGCATACTTTCCTTTTACTCTCAGAGGAGCCACAGATCCATAGTGACTATAGGGAGCACCCAGCTTGTCTTCACTCTTCTCCATCCTCGCTGAGAACCTTCCTACTATGACAACCTTTGTTTCCTTTAACTTAGAGATTTTTGGGTGTTGTCATTTGTCCTATTCAGGAGCAATACCATTTAAAGCATGCTTGTGCAGAACTGAGAATTGGAGCAGGTTATGATGGTGTGTGTATTGGTTTGTGCCCCTTAAATGATAGAGATTCCTGACACCTTCCTGCCCTGTTGAAATGCAAATATATTTTCTTTTTGCATTTCAGGAACTTACTTCAGTGCATATAAAAGGAAAAATCTATATATATTTTTTCCCAGAGTCAAATAAGCCCAAATATAAAGTTGAAGAAAGCTTCGTAATAGTAAAAGCCTAATACCAACTGTGTCTCTGAGCAGGGAAAGCAGAACTTTAAACAAGGCTTAAACAGAATTTTTGAAGGTGATCCAGGAATTGGGATTGCTTTGCATAGTCTATAGGTGGTACGAGGGATTGCTTATCTAACTGGGAAGCAGGCTGGATTTCAGGATGGACGTGTTCTGCTTTGACAATCTGCATTTCTCTGAATTATTTTTGCTCCTTCAACC